TTGCCCTCTAGCTATTTGACCTCACCTGGTCTAGACAGAACAGAGCAGGGTCCTATTGAAGCCTCAGACAGAGCTCTGGAACCATTGGGCCCAGAGTTTGGGTTACCCACTACTTATTTACTCAAAGGACTTCCAACTTCTTGGACCAAGCAATGTGTTTTTCTAGAAAGCCTGTCTGCGGGCGCAGGTGTTGCTAACCACACACCCATCGGTCCTGTGGAAGGAGAGAATTGCCATTGCCATTTTGCCACCTCCACGTTCACCCGCAGCCATGATGAGGTGCTCCCACGCACCCTAACTGTCCTCACTCAGGTACTTGCACCTCGTTACCTCTGACATGAGAACCTTCTGGGACAGCTCAATGTGGCTGCATGTCCAGCTCCCCAGGCACCCAGGACTGTCCTCTGCCCCTTCCCCTCTTGTTTACCAGCAGAAAATACAGGCCTGGCAGGCAGGGTGCGAGTCTGTCCCTGGCCCCAGCTGTGGAGCAGCTGAGCTCATTGGAAAGCAGGCTGTGGACGTGAATGCAGCCCTTGTGCCCTGCGCCTTGTCAATAGCCTCCACAACTGCCCAGCATTTCTATTGACTCAAGATAAGTTCCGGGAGGCCGGAGAACAGCTCACTGTTTGGCCCGGTGTCTGCGGGCCAGGCCAGGCCAGGCCAGGCCGGGACAGCTGGGCTTGGTGAGCCCTGCAGGCTGGATGGAGCTCAGCAGGCAGTGCTGCCAGCTCCGCAAACACTCAGCTCAGGCCGTAAGCTTGCTCCTTATCCTGGCCTCCCGGGAGCCCTGGGGGCGATTACCCCTATCAGCCTGGTTTGGCAGTGCCCTGGGGAAAGACAGTCACATGTTCTGGCTGCTCGGTCCAAACAGGTGTTGGAGGTGACATCATATCTCAGCAGAGATCACTAAGTCTTCCGACTTCTACCAATATTTACATTTCCAGCTCCGAGGAGAATCTAATCAGACTTCCGATGATACCTTGATACCTGCCATGTTGCCCACTTTTGCTCCTGGCTGTGGGTGTTGAATCCGCCTTTCCTGGTTTTAGAGTTTACCCTCCAAGGGTCCAGGGAGCTGGCAGGCAAGGCCTCTGGGACCTGGCCAGGGGAACAGAGCCGGGGATTCAGGGAGGAGGCTTTGGCCCAGGAACAGGGACCGACAGGCAGAGGCGGAGGCCAGCCTGCAGGCTTTGGGTCTGAGTGGCAAGAGCACGAAGCCCTGGGACTCCAGCTGCTCTGAGCAAACCTCATCACTGCAGGGGCCTGGCAAGCAGGCCCCAGCTCCGCACGCATCTAAGACTCAGGACAGTGGCTGCCCAGATGAAAGGGGCGGGCGAGGCCCAGCAACTGGAGGGGGACCGGTTCTGATCCCAGGTGAGTGTCCTGGTCTGTGTGGTTCAAGGACACGAAGAGGTTTGTCTCTACTCACCTCCACCACTTTCTGAAACACCAGGGACGAAGCCTTACCTCCTTGGCTCCAGACAACTGCACCCTCAAAAACAGGCCAAAACAGGTGAGCTACCATACAGGCTCATGGACAGCATCACCGTAAGCAGTGCCTCTGGGCTGTGTCCTCTCTCAGGCCTCTGGAACTCGGGTTCTGGGGATGAATGGTCCCCCTCAGTGGGCCATGTCCCTTTCGACCCACCGGAGAAGGCCCCAGCCCCTTGGGAAACTCCCCAGCAGTCTGGGGTTGTATTGACATGCCAAGAACAGGAGATAAACCCCACCTAATGTCAGAACAAATAGGAGGCTGAAACCAGAGAGGCCTGGGAGAGATAAGCCAGGCATTTGCCTGGGGCTGGGATATGGGAAGAGGAGGGGAGAGGCTGCGCCCCCCAGCCACCTGCACCCCTAGCCCCAGCCCCGGGGAAACAAAGAGATCAGAGCGGCCCATGTTAATCATTGCTGGGTGGCCCAGGGTGGGGAGGCTGAGGCCCTGTTTGTAGACCAGAAGGCCCCACCCACCAGACCAGGCTGGCTTGTACAGCCTCACGGGGTCCCTTGGTTCTTAGCCTGGCACTGAGGACCTGATAGTGAGCCAGACGACCCTGTCCCTCCAGATGCTCACAGCCACACTCAGAGAACCACACTCATTCGTGCATGGGGGCCTGTCTTCACAGAGGTGGCGATGGAGCATGGGGACCCACCAGGTGAGGGAGAAACAAAAACCACTTAGCGTCACTGGGAACCCCAAACTTAGGGAACACCACCTCAGCCCCTAAGTCCCAGTTGAAGCGTCCTAATTCCTCACAAAGTGTATGCAGAGATGAGAAGGAAGATCCAGCCTCCCCCTGCCCCCAACCCTGGCCTGGATTGTGGTATTCTCTAACTCGACTACAGAGAGGGCAGGATAACAACTGGGTGGAAGGGGAGAGGTAAAAGCTGCCCAGAGGAGGTGGTCTTTCAGAACTCCAGGAGAGCCACGCAGAAGGACCCAGGCTCCCTCCAGCTGGTAGCAGAGAGAAGCAGCCTGTGCTGAGGCCACACAGCAGGCAGAAGGCTGCATGAGGCCCAGCAGCTGCCCCAGGGTGTCTCGAGTCTGGTCCCTGTCCAGGCAAGGGTAGCTTAGGCCTACAGGAGCCAGGCAGGCAGAGAGGAGCAGAGGGGAGGTCCCTGCGGTGAAGTGAGAGTGGGAGAGTCTAACCACTGTCCTGGCAGGTCAGGTCTGCAGGACCTTCTAGCTGTGCCGACCCCAGATTCCGCAGTGTTGCCCTGGGGAGGCAGCAGCCGAGGGCTACCACATCGGCAATGATTTGCTGAGCAGTTAAGAACCCTGTGCCAGGTACCAGGTATCTCACACACCTGGTATAGATGGCTTTATGCCAATGCAATTGTAATGTTAGATGAAAGAGACAAAATTCCCAGGTAAAAATGGCTCGCCAAGCTCACACAGAGGAAACTTAGGGAATGCTGATAAGGACTTTAAAAATCCCGTTCAACCCCAAACAAGGACTTGGGTCACAGGGCAGTGAGCGCTCAGCCCAGTCTGACCTCAAAGTCCTCGCTCATTCCATGAAGGAGAGACATGCTCCAATAAGAATGGGAACTTAATGCCAGCTCAGTGGCCTGAGGGTTAAAGGAGCCAGGTCCCACATGGCCAGTTTAAACCTTGGCCCTGACAGCTTCAAAGGCGATCTGGGCACGTGTGTGTGCGTGCCCCAAATCCAACAGGATGGGGACATGGAGAAGAGATCGCCATGTGATCGTGCCCCACTGGGGGCTGCTTTCACCTTCTCTGTGTCACTCTCTCTCTGGTGAGAACACATATCCACTAGCAAATTAAAAAAAAAAAAGCGTGAACATAGCTCCTAGACAGGGAACATGTATGTTTGCACGTGTGTGTGTGTGTACAGAGTTAGGATATGCTGACCTCGGTGACATTTTGAATACAAAACATTTTATTATAATATTGCCTTAATTGATTAATGCTCAACAAAATTGTGTTTTCAGGCCTACGCAGCGGAGGCAGAAGGGACGCTGCTGTATGATACTGGAGACCACAGCAGGGTGGGGCTCAGGGTTTGAATGCAGGGCCTACCTCCACACAGTGGCATGCCTGTGACCCTAACTGGTTGCAGGACTGGGGGTGAATCATGGCGTGAAGACCTATCGAGGTGCCTGTCACTCCTCTCAGAAAATAAGCTTATTTTTTTAAAGAAGTATTTTCTAGAGCGAACTCTATTAATCCAATATACAATCTTCTGTCAAATCATTTCCATGGATGATAAACCACACACACAATGGTGGGCCCATAAGATTATAATAGGCTAAACCATATAGCTTAGGAGTGTAGCAGACTGCCGTCTAGTCTAAGTATGCTCTGTGCAGTTCAACAAAATCAACCAGCAGTACGTTTCTCGGAATGTATTCCAGTCATTAAGCAACATGGGACTGCATTTAATCCTAGGCCAATTTCCCAGCTTGAAATGTAACAATTGTCAATTCACTTGTTTTTGCTGTTTCTTTCTTTTTTTTTTTTTTTGTTTTTCTTCC